GTGTTCCATGCAGAGGGAGTACCAGATGGATGCAAAACGGAGGGGCTTGATTTCACTAGAGTTTCTGATTTAAATCCTCCCACTGTCAAATACAAGCTGTATTACTTAGCCTCTGGGTGCATAAGGGTCCCTATTAGTTAAATGGGTACAGTGATAAGTCTGACCTCACAAGGTTGTAACAGAAATTAAATTGGTGAATACTGTAGAGGTCATAGAATAGTATCTGACAATTGGTAAACATTATGTATTTGTTTAATCACATTTTGGGAGGGCCGAGATTGCCTTTTTGCCTGAAAGGCTTTCATTTAATATATTAATTTACCTAATTTTATTCATTATTATTTTTTTAGAGGTTTTTGCTATAGGGCATGTGCACTTGCCAGAAAGACAGAGAGAGACAGAGACAGAAAGCGAGTAATCACCCCTGAGTGGGGATGGCCATGCCGTAATCCCTTCTCCTCCCTTCTCCTCTCGGGATCTTGGGCATGCACACACACATACCTGGAGTGAGTTTAAGCCACCAGGTCCGGGACTCAAACTGTGGTAAACTACACAGGAGTCCAGTGACATAGCCATTACACCAAGTGCAGCTCCCCATTATTATTATTTTTTAATTTGTCATATGGCATGTGCACTCATCAGAGAAACAGACAGAGAGAAAGCAAGAGGGAAGGTGAGAAGGCAAACTGTTAGGTTCAGGATTCAAACTGTTTTAGGCCATGTGGGAGGCCAGAGCCTTAATCACCACACCACCTGCTGGCCCCCATCTCATTTGTTCTTTAAATCAAATATATACTTTGCCTATTATTTTCAGTTTCGTTTATATAACAATAGAAATATAATTTAAAATAATTTAAGGAGCATTTTGCATTTAGAATCCTTTTACATTTCATACAAACCATTCTCTCCACATTTTTTTTTACAGTTTGATAGCTATATTTAATTTGATCACAAACTTTTTTATACTGACTTGCCTTTATTGAAGTTTTTGAAACATTTAAATTTATTTATTTAAGAATAATTTTATTTAACTTTATTTATTAATTTATTTTAATTTGACCAGAGAGGGACAGAGTGAGAGAAAGAAAATGAGAAAGCAAGCTCCCAGGCCCGGGACTCAAATCATGGTCGGCCATGTGGGAGTCCAGCACCCTTAACCACTGCACCACCTGCTGGCCCAGAAACACTCAAATTTATTTTATAGAAACAATTCTATTTTTGCATCATAGTTCATCACCTTATGCAATATGGATTTTTTGTTGTTGCTGTTGAGAGGATTTTGCTATAGGGCGGGTGTGCTCACCAGAGAGACAGAGACAGAAAGACAGAAAGCAAGAAATTACCCCCCTGGGGGGGATGGCCATGCCAAAATCCCTTCTCCTCCATTCTCCTCTTGGGATCTTGGGTACACACACATACATGTCTGGCATAAATTTAAGCCACCAGATCCTGGACACGAACCATGGTCTACTACATGGGAGTCCAGCAACGTAGCCATTATGCCAACTGCTGGTCCCCACCTTATGTAATATGCATAAAATTATATTATTAACATTTCTTAAATTACATAATTACCATTACAAATACTATCATATAAACATACTGAGTAACAAACGTAAGTGATTCTTGGTGAGCATTCGATTCAACTCATAAGTGAAATAAGTGTTCTTAGCTGAGAACTTTGTACTAGCTGCCAGCATTCAGTAAGTTGAGGGTGCTGTTTAATATGATTTATAGGAGGAAATGGTGAGCTTTGGTTAATCTGGCTAAGTAGGTTCAAATAAGATTAGTTACAGACTCCCATCCCTGTAAGAAGATTACATTTGGATTTTATTTGTTATATTGGCTCCTTGGTTCTTTGGCATTGAGTTCAAATGGTTAATTTTAATACAAAATCTCCTTAACTGATATGTTACCACTATATGTCCCAGAGATCTTATTCTAGATAACAGAATCAATAGAGAAGTTTACTGTCAATTTTATTTTACTTTTACCCTTCCTTTTTCCCTTCTTAGACCTAGTTCCCTTTGTGTGTCAGGACCTATCAATTAATCCTCGTAGCGACCCTTTTTTTCTCCTATACAAAGATTTGTTAAATGATATCCATGTAAACTTTAAAAAAAGTTTACTTAATATTATTTTAAAATTTGCTAAAGTGCATGTGTGCTCACCAGACACACACACACACATACACACACACACACACGGAAAGGAAGAGGAAGACTGAGAGTGAGAGCCACCAGGTCTGGGATTTGAACCACAGTCACCATGTGAGAATCCAGTGCCCTAATCACTACACCACTGGCTGGCCCCTCTACGTAATTTTATTATTATTATTATTTTTTTTTGAGGGAGGAGTTTTGCTATAGGATTTGTACACTTGCCAGAGAGAGAGAGAGAAAGACAGAAAGCAAGAAATCTATCCCCCAGAAGGGATGGCCAAGTTGCAATCCCTTTTCCTTCATTTTCTTCCCAGGATATTGGGCATGTATGCACATGTGCCAAGCATGGGTTTTAACCACCAGGTCTGGGACTCCAACCATGGCCTACTATGTAGCAGTCCAGCGATGTAACCATTATGCCATCTGCTGTTCCCCCATGTAACCTTTTATTGTCTCTGTTTAAGAGACAAAAATTGATTGTTGTTTATAAATTATTTCTTCTCTAGTATTTATAATTTATTTACTAAAACCACAGAGGGCTTAAAATGATGTTGTCTCTTCAGGTGGGCTATTTCACATTGCAGAGAATCACTAGTCTATACTAGTAAATGACAGCTAGTGCTATTTTCTAAGACATGCAGGAGAATACTTAGAAATCTGCTGCACCGAATCTGCAGTCCACTGGTACCAGTTATATGTGGGACTCAGTGCACACTGGTGAGTTTGCTGTTTCCACTGGCTACAGCCTCAAATAGACTGGGATAGAATCATGGAGTGTCCAAGCATCCATGAAAGATAGGCAGACTTCAGAAGGAGAGGTGGAGGCATGAACTTCTCTCACATTTATGCCACATAACTCTCCAGAGTGCATTCATCATTTATTCTTTATTCCACTGAACAAATAATTATTGAACATGCACAGGTGTAAAACAAGCTTAGACAGCTTTTACTTTAACATCAGAAAATGAAAAGTCATGAGTCAAATAATTAAAATACTTTTAGAAAAGCCAGCAACTTCTGCCTGTGACTGAGAGCTCTAGGAGATTAGAGGGTTGGTATCACACTTTCTATCATTCTTCTTCATAGAACTATAAACAGCCCATTTTTTATAATCATTACTTAAATTAGAGTGGCTCTTGGAAGTGAGGACTATTTGGGGAGTAATATGAACTTTGTTTACTGTAAACAACCAACGAACAAACACTGAATTCTACTGTTAGCATACACATCATCTCCTGCCATTTGGGTATGGATTTAAGGAATCTGTGACAGCCAATGAGAAAACTGAAATATCTACAGCACATGTGTTTACCGTGTAAACAAACTATTGAGATCTATAAACAGGGAGTGTAGATCCTTAAAAGTAGCTCCAGAAAAGCCTCATGAACATGCAACAGCTGTTAAAAGTAGTCAAATGTTGAATCCTGATTATGGGATTTCAAAAGGAATACAGCTTTTTAGAAATATAAGCGCTCTCCTGTGACAAACACTTACAGTGGTTTGGACCAGGTAGATGACTCACCCCCTACTCCCAATATGCACGGTTTTTGAATCATGAATTATGAATTATGTTCTAACAGATAAAGCAAAGAGGAAATTAATTTAAGAGATGAGATCTATTTTGTAATTCAGAGAACTGTTTTATTTTAATTTGGGGGGCAAATTACATTTGGATGTTCAGCATTGCCAAATATGTGATTTCCCTCTAAAATGAAAAACAATTTCCTATTATTTCTCTGAGGATCCTAAGATATATATGCCAAGATTCAGAGGATAAATTGGTAACAGAATCTTGACCATTTGGAAAAGATACTATCCTTCTATGATGATAGAAATAATCTGCTTGTGCACTAATACTATAGCATTGACTACAGGTGGTTTTTGAATACTTGAAAATGTGGCTAGTTAGACAAAGAAACTTAATTTCAACTTACCTTTTTAAAACTTAAGTAGCCCTATATGGCTAGTGGTTACAGTGCTGGTCAGGGTAATCCTGATGATCAGAGGTTGGAGAAGGACATCTCTCAGCCAATTACACCAAGCAGCTGTGGGTTACCCTTTGTAAGCCGTGCACTGTCCCTGTGAATCCGTGTATTCTTTGACAGCTTGGCCTCAGAAGGGTTCTGAGCAAAGCCCATGGGAGCTTGTTTGAGCAAATATGCACATCAATAGGATCAAGAAATCGGAAGCAGCAAAGGTCAGCACTCTAGACCCCTGCGCCAATTCACGTGTTTCCCTACAGTGGGATATATTCTCTAGTGCTTTGTTAGAGAGGGCTTCAAAATGATTGGAATGGTTGACTTTCCACGCTATGAAGGCGAGTAAAAAAAGTTCAGTGAGAGCATTTAGACAAAGAGAACCTATAAAAACACTGAAAAGGAATACAGGAAGTGGTGTATTGCAAGGGAGAACTGCAATGAAAGCAAAATAAACCCCAGCGGTATTTTTGATTATAGAGAGTTTGAAATCAAGAAATGAGCTTGGGCATCACACAAAACTCCTTCTTGCCTATCATGGAATACAAGTGTATTAATACTGGTCCCCAAAGCAATCAATTATTTTCTGACTCCATTCCTTGTACCATTTAGTTTAATAGAGGACAACTTTTGATTGTCCCTCTTACCTGTTTATTCTTTGTTTATGCATTTCTCTGTCTGCACGTAGTTTTAAAAAGTCAAGAATTTAAGAGACATTCCATTTTAATGACATCCCTTGAGAGAAGAAAGAATCAGGGTTCTGATACAATATGCCTTGCCCCTAGAGATGTTGGTAACTTTGAGCTTAAGTAACTTCTTGTCAATTTCAGTAGCAAAGAATGTTTTCTACATGAACACATACCTGGAGCAGATCAGAAGTTGGTCTGACTCGCTGCTGGAACAGGATGCTCAACGTTCGATTCTGTTGTTCCAAATCAAACACTCTTGTTTTCAACTTTACACATTCCTCCCTCAGATCCTACAATACACCCATCAAAGGGGGAAAAAGTGTGTAACTGAAAGACATCTTTGCATATTGTAACTGTATTTTACATGATATTTCAGACACATTAGTAAAACATAGTATTTTTATTCACCGAAGTCCCCAGAAATAAATCACACATGACTTTTTTCTTCCACAGACCATTGTCTGATAGGATTATTATGTGTGGGGAAGACCAATTTTTTTTAAAGTACCTTGAAATCACAAATGCATTAATCTAGCATGCTATTTTTGAAGACAGTAAATCTTAGTGATATAAAGTCAATTTAAGTTTCCACCTATATATTTTACCTTTTCACTGTCTTCATAAAAGCAATCATAAAGCACAAACCGCAAGGACAACAGTGTTTCTGCAGTGAATAGAGATTTGATGAACTAAAGAAACTATCACTTTTGATGGAATCTTTTGTTGTCATTTATGGAAATGAGTTGAAATTTTCTGAGCTACGGTTGATAGAGGCAGTGAGGCATTTAGTAGGAGAGAAGTAACACTGAAGTGAAGGCTTTTTAAAAGGCCACTTGTAACTTGTCCATCCTCTGAACTAGTGGGTTTCCATATTTTCTGGGGGTGTGTCTGCCTCAGTGCTGTGGAAGAAGTGCAGTATCCCCTCCCTTGGCATTCTTTTGAAGCAACTCTTTTGAATAATCAAGAGATAATCCCTGGTTCCTAAGAGGAGAGCAGACACAGGAGAGTATAAGGACTCACTGGCATTCCACCAAGGAATTACCTTCCAAACTGACCTGTTTGATAAAGGGGCTTGCAGGACTTAAATGTTAAATGCCCATACCCTCTTCAATGAGCTTTAAGAAAGACCCAGTAGAATAAAACCCAAATTCAAGATCCCATTAAAGCTGATCCTTTCCTACATTTTAAACTTGAACTTTCACTATTTCTTGATTTAACCAAAAAAAACAAAAACAAAAACAAAAAACAAAAACAAAACAAAACAAACCTTTTCTCACTATGCAGAGAACAAGGTTCTGCTTGTTGGTCTTGAAAGCTCTATGTATTCCTACCACCCTCTTTCCTCCCTAACCATCACTTTTACTTCTCATCTGTGTTTCCTTCTTCAGTTCCCCTTTGACTCTTTGATTGAAATCCCATTCAAACTTTATTATCTCTCTGATGCTTTACCTGGGATCCCCAAAGGGCTGTTTTCTTTTTGAACTCCAGTAAATCCTCAAAGCCTCCCCTATGACATGTAGAACATACTGCATTGTCCTGACTATAGCTTTTGTGCTGTGGACTTATCTTGTCAATAAGACAGCATGTCCATGGGACAAGCAGGTGGCATGGTGGCTAGGGGCGTTGGACTCCCACATGGCTGACCGCGGTTTGAGTCCCAGACCTGGCAGCTTACTTTCTCACTTTCCCTCTCTCTCTCTCTGCCTCTCTATCACTCTGTCCCTCTCTGATAAAATTAAAATGAGTAAATAAAGTTAAATAAAATCAGTCTAAAAAATTTATATAAAAAAAGACAGTATGTCCCTCAGCAGGTAAGCACAAGAAGATACTGAAATAAATAACCTTACAAGTATATTGCTTTTATATTCTTTATCCCATCACCTAACACAGCTCCACATATAAAAGTTTAATAAATGTTTGTAATTATTTTGCTAACAGGAATGATGATGACTAGTTCTAGTCTTTAATGATAAAGCAAGTTTAAGTTTTGCAATACTTCTAGTTTATAGATATGTGTATTCCAACATGGGGAGTTAGAAAGTTTACTTACGGCTTTTCAAGCAAGGGAATACAACAGTCAGCAGCTCAGAATCCCAGTGCCTAAACAAGGGTCATAGAGGTGATTTAATCTGTTCCATAACCTTGTAAATATCTAATTGTGAAGTTAAGAGGTCTACCTTCTGAGCCTTTACCTGAGCAAGCATCAAAATATGTAGTAGTATTACTTCTATTTAAAAAGAAGAAATGGTCTAAGGTGTGTCTGGCTGCACCATTCATACTTTCTTCACCTTTTTTTTTAGTTAACTGGGTGAAGCTTGTACATAGGACGTTTACATCCGACTGGTGCCTTCCAATGCAGAGCAGAGCAAAGAAATGTCATGCTTGAAACAAGGCACCTGGGTACAGGATGTAAGAGGGTAGGAGCATACATTTTTACTTGTGGCACATGTGCCATTTGGCAAAGGCCTACTCACTGATCGAATTAAAAGGCTAAGTTTACTTGTTTTATTTAGAATTCAGCCCCTGCCTGTGTCTCATTAATGCTAATTTTTGTTCTTAGCATCTATATAACATACTCTGCTCCCTAACACTAATTGTTTTCACTATGGTTAATTAAGTAATTAATAAAACCTGACTGTGAGGTAGATAAATATTAATAGTACCTACTGTGTGGGAAACCACAATCTTATTTGCAGGCAGAGATACAGAAGCGATACATACATACATGCATGTGCAAGAAGAAAGGGTTAGAAAGCAACAGTGCTGACAATTTCTAGCAGCAAAGCTGAATAATTTGGAAGAGTTCTTCAGATCGGTAAAATATAAAAGAAAAAGAAAAGATGAATAAAAGAAAAAATCAATATACTCTAGGGTATACTTTTATACAAGCACCTGAATTTCAGTGGCCATTACAATTCTTTAAGGCATGATAAATGTTCATTAGTGAAAGCACAATCTATTGACCCTGAGAACTCTCTGTTTATCACTGTTGGCTCATCCTGCCAAGCGCAAAGAAGAGGTGGACATGGAAGGCTTTAGCAATGCGATATTGACCTTACAATCATGACAGACAGAAAAAAGCTGATTTGAAAACCTGTAGATATAAGGGAGCTTCTTGTATTATTTTTGATATTTGTATTCTCTTTAGTCAAGCTGTGGATGATAACTCATGCTAGAGAGTTGCCTTTCCAAAGACACTGTAATCAAAAACGTGTGTGGGCCAGCCACAACGATGGAGCAATAAGAAACCTCTGCAATGCCGACATCAGATAGGAAGGTCCTAGGTTCATGTACTGAGGTGCCCCTGTGCCTGCCTGGTACCTGCATGAGTATCTGTGATCCTGGCTACCTGATGCTGAGGGTGAGTACTTCATAGAGCCCCTGCTGGGGTTGTCTGTCTCTCTCTCTCTCTTTCTCTCTTTCTCTCATGGAAGAAGTACTGGGTGATTAGGAAAGTCTTAAGGCATTTTTTTTTTTATTAGAAAAACAGAAAAATATATCATGACTTTCCCAAAGACTTAATAAATAAACTTTAAAAAATGCTTGTGCATACTTGGACACACACATAAACACAACTGGAGCAGAGATAGACAGAAAGGAAAACAGCTCTCTGACCACTGCATGATATCTAGGCGGAAGATAGCTGCTAGCTGTCCTTGTTTACTCTATGCTCACAACAGGAACCCAGTGACATGAAGGGGATATGACACATTTAGCCTGGGTACAAAAGCTACTATTCTGAGACCCTGTCAGATATAAAGTCGAGGTCTAGAATGGCCTCTCCAAGTAAGGTGCTAGAAACGAATAACTCTTTTCAGTGTAGATGACATAGTTTGGGATGATCATGGTTCCATGCAGGAGCCATGTCATTGGTTTTCTACAATTCTTTTTCTCTGTGTCTTCCTAGTATTTGTCAGGTCTCAAGAGGAGGACCCCATGCAAATACAGTGCCAAGTTTTCTGATATAAAAAGGGGCATGCCAAAGGGAGCATTCCATTATGGCTTCATCATGGGGAAATAATGCCTACAATTTGACTACATTTAATATCATGTAAGAAAGCACAGTGGTCTTTGGGTCTAAGAAAATAGCCATACCTGCTTTCCTTATAGTCTACAGGTGACAATCATTTGGAAACAGAGACTTGGATATTACAGCCGAAAGTGACAGCAAATTGTATTATGGAATGTAATAACCTGATTTAAAGGTCCCTTGTCTATTTTAATGATTCTAAATCACAATTTCCCAGGGGAGATGGTCACACTGCAATACCTTTTCCTTCCCAAATCTTGGGCACACATGCACACATGCCCGGCGTGATTTTTAAGCTACCAGGTCCAGGACTCAAACCATAGTCAGCCATGTGAGAGTCCAGCAATGTAACCACTATCTGTTGGACCCTCAGAATCAATCCTATTTCAGATCTTAGAACTGCACAATTTTCAGGGACCTTAGTGAGCATTTCATCAATGATCCACACTGTAGTCTTAGTGTTTTACCTGCAGTTGGGCTAAATAAGATTCTGGATGCACTGCTGTGTAATACCTATAGGAATACAATTATTTTACATACTTAGACACAAAACCATTACATTAGCCATTAACTCTAGTTTGAACGTTGCTGATTGCTTAGTAGCAGGACATACACTGATACTATCAGTGGAGTGATGCTAAAGTCTATTTAAATCTTACTTTATCATGTAAAATGATATCACAGTGATATATCTATTTCAAAGGCAGTGTCACTCATGGAAATACACCGGATCAGGGGTTGGGAAGTCTGGCCTGTGATCCTCATTACCCACATGAATTGAGAAACTCATGTATTCTGAGGAAGCCTCAGTTTCCTCATCTGTAAGCTGAGGCACTGCATAAAACTGGGCCTTGGAAAAGATCATACATCTGACCCCTTCACGGAATAGCTAGGAAGTGCCACTTTGTTCTTTCTCTGAAACTTAATGATGCCCAAACCCATCAGTTTCTCATCCCTTCTCAGTGACTTTCACTGCTATTTCCCTATCTCTGTCAACGATGTATTCTATAAAAGAATACATTTCTATAAAAAGAAAGTTTTCTATAAAAATAAAAGTCATTTCTGGACAAAGCTGGGCACATCTCAGACTAACCAAGGGCTTCAAAATAAAATACCTAAAAGTCAAGGCTGTGACTGAATCAAGATAATAGAGAGGAGATGGTGACAGAGAGGAAGTGGTGAGTCCTGGGGCATACTGAATACTGCCAGTTCTTATCCTAAAGGTATTCACGTTAAAACATGTTTAATCTGGGTGATAGCCAAGCAGCGTATATGTTTACAGTGAATAAGTCCATTACCAAAGGTAGTTGATTTCAGAAAGAAAGGCTCACCAAGGTCTCTGACAATTGTGCAGTTCTAGGGTCTGAAATAAGATTGATTCTGGGGGTCCAGCAGATGGCCTAGTGGTTACATTGCTGGACTCCCACATGGATGACCATGGTGCCAGTCCTGGACCTGGTGGCTTAAAAATCACACCGGGTACATGTGCATGTGTACCCAAGACCCCGGAAGGAGAAGGTACTGCAGTGCGGCCACCCTCCCCAGGGGTTGATTTCTCACTTTCTGTCTCACTGTCTCTCTCTCTCTCTGGTGAGTGCATTCTCCCTAAGGCAAGGAAAACTTCTAAAAAAAATTGATTTTGAGAAAGCTTGACTCTAAATGCAGAGTCAGTTTTACTTGATACATGTCAGAGTCCGAATGTTCTTCTTCTTAGAGCAGGCAATGTTTCCAAAAGTTTTAAAAACTCCATTGGCAGGACCAGCAGATGGTGTAATGGTTACATTATTGAATTTCCACATAGTTGACTGTGGTTTGAGTACTGGATCCAGGGGTTTAAAACTCGTGCCAGGTGCGTGTACATGTGTGCCCCAAAGTCTGAGAGGTAAACAAAAGAGAAGAGACCGTGGCATGGCCATCCCCTCTGGGGGGTGATTTCTCACTTTCTGTCTCTCTCTGTCTCTCCAGCAAGCACATGCACCCTATAGCAAAAATCTCTCTCTCTCTCTCTCTCAAAAAAAGTCATTGGCCACTTGGCGTTTGTTTTATTTCCTGCAATCATGAGAAACTTTTGGATTTCAATCTATGTGTTAATTTTCATAGCATCTCCCTCTGCCCTACTGAACTATGGTGGAGAAAAACAACAAGCAATTAAACGGGATCCTGGAGACTGAATGGTGTGGGGTAGGGAAGAGTGAGGGGTTTGCATTGCAAGCCTAGGTGAAAGTATGGGCTCTGCCACTTCCTGGCTGTTGGAACTATGGGCTAATTACCTTCAGCCTACCTCACAGGGTTGCAGGGAGAACAAAATGACTCAGTGCCAGATGTGGGGTCTACTTCTTCTAACCGCCCAGTAAATATAAACAGACCCTCCTTAGGAACCAGGTTCTATATAAACCACTGCTACAGAAGTGGACACAGATAGATGGTCCAGCTGGCCGTCTGACAAGGGAAACATGTAGGAGTTTGGAGTTCTTTCAGCTACAAGCTCCAACATTGCTTCCTCCTTCTATCTGAGTGGCTGTAGTGCTGAGTTCCACCACACACCAGTCCTATTCCATGCTGGGGAAGAAAAAACACCATATGAATATTGGGTTGCTTGGGAGAACACACAGGTAAGGCTGAGATTATTGACTTGAAAGAAAATACCTGCAAGGAAAGTGCTTGTTTTCCAGATTTGGTGAAAAATCTAGGAGACTTAGATTTTCAGCAAGTATAATAGACTTAATGAAGATAAACTATATTTCAGATTAAAACATGGATTAAGCCTGGATCGTTGATTTTACAGGCCCTGTGGACATGGACCTAGGATTTAGAGGCAAAGATAGAAGTGAGGTGAGTTTAATAGCATCACTTCAGTGTCATTAAGGTAAGGGGTACAGCCTGCTCTCTTAAGTGAAGACACCGGCTTCTTAGATACACTGAATTACTGAAATAGAGCCACATATGTACATTTAACAGAAACTAGTAAGTGCACACTAAACAAGTTATCAGCATTGGTAGACTCTATTATGTCACGATGTTTCTTTCTCAGGGCCAATTTACGATATGCCATGAAAAATGTTTCTGAGGTTGCCCGGGGAAGAGCTGAAGTCATAGCACATTTGCCTTTGAGCTATCAAAAAGTGATGTATTCTAAAACCTTATAGTTTTGCCCATTATTTCACCTAAATTATTTTTTTTTGGCCACTTAAGCTTAACCATTGAAAATTTCTGTTTCTATTCTGTGCCAGCCTCATTCCTCTTTAGAATTAGTCTTCTCATCTGCATTTGGAGTACATTTTACTTCCAACATTGTGCTTTTCATTAAACAGGAATTTTAGTTTTTTTTTTTTTTCAGCAATTTTACAGTCCCTATAAAAGCCGAGAGGCACATGTTTGTGCAGAACATGATTCTTCTGGACTCTGCAAGCTCCCTCCATCTCCTCCTGCCTCACGATGTCCCTGAGGTATGCTATCTCATAGCAGCATGTCTTTCTGTGTCTTACTGCTTACCGGTACCAAGGTAGATTTATCTGTTTACTAGTTATTACTTGGATTTGTGTAGCTATTTTTTTGCAGCTGACCTTAAGGGTCCCGTTTTCCCTTTTATTGTGCCAGACAGCTTCCTTGTCTCTTTCCTGAAGCACCATTAAAAAAGATAGGCACAAGAAGTCTTTCGGCAAGTACACACAGTGCTGCAACTGTGTCTCCTTCCTCCCTTAGCTTTATAATTAGGTGAACACAGAGTTTTCAACAGGAGGAAAACAATTGAGAAATTAAAGCCTTTGAAAAAGAAAGGTATTCAAGTATGTTGTGGCAGAAATTGCAAGTTGCCCATCACTATTTGTCTCTTACTTTCTTTCAAAGTAACACAAGGATAAATTTTCGGGTGAGTACATACACAGAACAAAGACTTCTTACCAGCTTCCTCAGGTGTGGCTGCATGACTAAGGTCTATTCAAGGAGATGGGAATATGCACAAATGAAAGCTTTTGGAAGTCTACTTGAAAGGCAGTTGGCATATACCCTTTACTCTTTTCATATTCTTTAGCTCTTTCCCCCTTTCTTTTTCTTTTCTTTTCTTTTTTTTTTTTTTGAGAGGTTTTTGCTATAGGGCTCATGTGCTCGCCAGACAGACAGAGAGAGACATAGAGATAGAAAGCGAGAAATCACCCTCCAGGGGGGATGGTCACGCCACAATCCTTTCTCCTGCATTCTCCTCTCAGGATCTTGGGCACGCACTCACACACGCCCGGCGTGAGTTTTAAGCCACCGGGTCCGGGATGCGAACCGCAGTTGACTACATGGGAGTTCAGCGACATAGCCATTATGCTAACTGCTGGTTCCCGCTTTTTCCCCCTTTCTAATGGGGAAATGTGGATGTGATGACTGGAGCTGAAGAAGCCATTTTGGTGTATGAAATGACCTTGGAATTGGGAGCTACAACCCATGACTGAAGCCAAAGACCCTGTGCATTTTATGGAACAGAGCTACTAATCAGCCTTGTGCTGCCTACCGTGGACTTGTATGTGAGAAAAAAGAACATTTTAGCTTATTTAAGCCACCACTATTTTGAATCCCTATTACGCACAATGGAACTTAACTCTACGTAAGGGTACTTATATCTCTTTAATTTATGTATTGTTAGTGTAGAACTTGAAATAGTTTAAATTATTTGTATAAAGAAGCATGGCATTTTGACAGAAGTAGTAGGACAGAATGTCTAGCAAAAGTACTATAACAATGCTTGTACAGTACAAATTTAAATATTTACTTATCTCCATGAGAAGCAGTCAACTTAATGGAATTGTTTTCAATTAAAGAAAAAATAGCATAACCTATTTTGTTCTAACTTATCATTCCACCCGATTTTTTTTTAAAATAATTACTACAAAATGACTCCTATAAGCACTGTCCTATATGCTAGCTTTTATAAGATCACTATAGCAATCCTGGAAGGTGAAAACGGTTATCCCCATTCTATAGAGGAGGGACACTAAAGGGAGACAGAAAGAGAAAGTGAGGGAGAAAAAAGCACTCAAGGGGAAATGGCAGTGTCACAATCCTTTCTCCTCCATTCTCTTCTCAGGATTTTGGGCATGCACACATGTGCACCATTGTGCTTTTAAAGCCACCAGGTCTGGGACTCAAACTCTGTGGTTAGCCATATGGGATCCAGTGGGTTATCAGAAGAGTCATGACTCATTGTTGCAGAGAAAGGAACATCATGACTTTCCTGACAACCTACTCCCTGTGTTAACCACCATGCTACCAGCAGGCACACAATTTTTTGAAAAAAATAATTACTACAAACTAACTCCTATAAGAACTGTCCTATATGTTAATTTTACAGGACCTGTAACAATCCTGGAAGGTGAAAACTGTTATCTCCATTCTACAGAAGAGGAACTGAGGCCTGAAGCAATTAAATAACTTCCTAGCCTCAAAGATCTCTGGTTGATTTTAGACTTCTATTAATGCTGTTCATATGAGGACGCTCATTTGATAGAAATCAAATTAATCTAACAACTTGAAATAAATGTGTATTTACTAAATAAAAATGATTGGTTTGCTGTTCATCTGAGTTCATGGGAAACTTTCATCTTCAAAAGGTTTTTTATTGCTTTACCAAAGTTTAAATTTTACAATCCTATTGGTCATTGATATTACTTCATAGGCTATCTAAAACACACACAGTTATAACCTAAGTGAATGAATTGAAAAGTACTGCATCTATCAATCACAATTTCCTAGTTTGACAATGTGAGTACCATTCTATTCACATAAGAACTTTGAAAAGATTAAAGTCAGAAAGTGACCTACCTTTTGAGTGAGCAGGGCTTGAACAACTTGGTTGGCTACCTTTAAAAATAAAAGAAAAAGTTGCCATTTATAACAGTGAGACTTTATGTGCATGGACTCTAATTTACCGATAAGATTCCCAAAGCTTCCTGTAGCTAATTAGCTTCTCATTTACCTCTTTCCTCTACTTCTAGAGGGTCTGATTTTTTCATAATAAGCCTTTCCTTCTAGGTAATATTTTGCTTTTGCCAAAGGTGACCTTGTTGCTAATTAAGATGGTTAGGCTGGAAAGATCATTCATACCTTGACTTCCACATTTCCATATTTGGAAAAATAATATCCTTTCATATGTAAAGTACTCCAAGAAGGCTAAAAAATGATATAGAGCAAAACACAATCCTAATTATCTGTACACAGTTTCTACACTTTGCTGATTTATAATGTCCTTAGCCTCTCCTTCCTATTCCTTTGCTGTGTATTTCACTGCCTAAAATCACTTGTAATACAGGAGGCTGAATGGTTAAGGGTGGGGACAACTCTTTGTTTCCTGTAACACCCAGCTTTCCTCCTCTGTGTTTTGCCATCCTCTTGTTACTGCTACCTGAGATGGAGTGGTAGTTGATGAATCTAGCTGTTTCCCCTTCTTCCTGAGAAACAGACTCCGGTATTTTTGTCTGAGTCCATCCAACTAGATTTTTCAGCCTCTCTTGTAGCTGAGTGTCCCTACTTGAGAATGACCTGGCCAAACTCTTTTTCTTAGGGACAAATCTCTAAGAAGGCAGCTCACTCCTTTTCTTTATTTTCCTCTTTGGGACATGAAAGTAATGGCTGGCACTTTGGTCAGAAAAGTAGGAAAAGCCTAGACCTGCTGATGTCTGGGAGCTATACTTTCTAGCACTGAACTGTTATTTTGAGTCTCTTTCAATACATAACCAAACAATTTTTAACAATATTTTAATAAACACTTATTTTCTTCAGGTATCAATTAGCTTTGGACAGAAGGGAAAGCTACACCCCTCCTGGGCCCATGGAAGTTAATCTTGATTAATCTAATCCCATCATGGCCATTCCATTCCCCTTCCAGTGGCTAGTTTAGGAGTGAGCATGTAAGGTACACGTGTAAAAACAATATGTATATGCTAATATTGAGTTGTCAGAAAAATTGTAAAGCATTTTTTGCATAGAAAAATAGACTACGATTTTCTAACACCAATATTTCATCCACATATTTCAAAACATTTGACAAAAATGTCACCTACTAAACTTTACCATAATCTTGAATCTACGTACTCGTGTGGCCACTGCTGATAAAATTAAGATAAACAAGTGAACTAGGGTTTTTTGGACAATACCTAAGTTGTAAACATTTAGTTTGTTAACTGAAACTGACAGCACTAAAGGCCAAGACAAAGTATTTAAATATGTTATATAAAAGGGGACTTCAAAACGTTTGTGGGAAGGATCACAGATGGCATAATGGATCCAATGCTAGACTCCCATGTAGTCAACCACGGTTCAAGTCCTGGACCCAGTGGCTTGAAAATCACACTAGGCATACGTGTATGCATACCCAAGATCCTGAAAGGAGAATGGAGAAGGGATTGCAGCGTGGTCATCCCCCCCCTAGGGATGACCCTCCCCCCCCACCACCAGAGAGTGATTTCTGACTTTCTGCCTCTCGGGTGAGTGTATGTACCCTATAGCAAAGATATCTCTCTCTCTCAAAAAAGCAAAAAAATACACACACACATACATACACACACGTATATATATATCATGGGAAAATGAAATGAAACTAAACATTTATTTTGGTTTAGCAAAAGGTTGTAATCCATGCATAGTTTTTAAATAATATGTATTTTTCATGAATCTTTTGAAAATTTCCTTTGTAAGGTACTTCTGTTCATTTATTTCTTCATTTATTCAATATGAACTTTCTGAGTATCTAATTGTAAAGCGAGAGGACTGGAGATATGGTTGTTGACGTCAAAGATTGATGTCGTATAGCAGGCTGGCAAGAACATAGTTATAACACAGTGTGATAAACATATGATCACCACGGTAATTCACCCATTCAGCTGGAGACCTGAGATGGAGTGGTAGTTGTTGAGTGGAGGGACACACTTTCATCTTCTTTCTGTCGTAGTAATACATTTATTTTTGGTGTCACTAAACTATTAGAGCTTATTTCACTGTCTAGTATAGTGGAACAGATTATAGGAAGAATGTTTTCATGGAGCTTAATTGTTTCTTCACTCAATATTGACGAAATAGCACATTCTTAACAACAGTTGGCTACAAGTAACTCTCATAGAAAATTAAAACACAAGCTGATGTCAAATTTTGGTTAGAAGACATTCACATCATAAGCAGTAAATGACTAGAATCAAATTAACCATAATTGATTATTTAACTGTATGTACAGGAGGAATTCTTCCATCAGAAGCCTTTCCAGATTTACATTGTTGACGCTGAGTAAAAAAGAAAGATTTTTCATGGAAACTAATCATGATTTTGAAGAAAAAGTATCCTTAGGTATTTTTTCAGTGAAGTGCAAGTTAAAGCAGCATGCTAAGGACTACCATAGACTATATGAGACCACACTCTCATTAAATAGGGCTTTATTTTTCTTTATCATCTTATTTGTATGTGATAACAAAAGTAATACATATTTTCAGCACACACAAATTAACCAATTATGTAGTTGTGAAAATATTTCAGTTCTTAAACATTCATTCCAATTTATAACTAACTGTGATTATTATTTTTAAGAGAGTTTTTTTTTTTTGCTATTTGGCACATATGTTCACTGGAAAGACAGAGAGAGATTGTGTGAGAAATCACCCCCTCCCCCTCAGGAGGGATGGCCAGGCTGCAATCCCTTCTCCTTTATTCTCCTCTCGGGATTTTGAGCATGCCCGCACACACACCTGGTGTGAGTTTCAAGCTGTCAGGTCCAGAACTCTAACCATGGATAGCCATGTGGGAGTCTAGTGCCTTAACCATTACACCATCTGCTTGTCCCAGAAACTGTGAATTTAAAATTGAACTATAGATCATCCATTTTATTACTGACAAATAAAACAAAACAGAGGAATCAAACTTTTCATTGTAGGTTGAATCAGAAAAAATATATCAAAGGTAAGTCATACTATAAATAATTTACTTCTTCTAGTTCTCAAACTTGGTATTTGATTTACATTCTCATAAAATTGTCTAATATCAACATTTTATTTTCTTCCTTCAAACCTGTCCCTAAGTTAAACCATTCTATGTAACAGGGGTCATATAAAAGAACTCTGTCCATTATTTAACAAAAAACACAGACTAATATCCTAACCATAATAGCCCACTGGAGGAAACATATTCAGTCTTTGCGACTCAAGTAGTTGCCTCATAGTCTTGCAGGCTCTATGTGATACAATTCCTTCTGGCATGTATTCTACCTGAAATTGTAAGGGTACACGAACACCTTATTTCTCTATCTACTGACATAGGGTTATATTATCCAGGACTCCTGGGTTCTTTGCAGAAGAGCAGGAAGTTTGTACAAATGCTTTCCATGGTACTGTCTATAAAGACAATTTCCAAGGTCTTGCTACTGGTATAACAGTCAAGCTTCCCAGAGGTATCAACAGAACAGTTGTTTGGCCCTTGTGCCTACAGCCTCTACTGGGCACATAAGATGATACCTAGAATAGGGCCCTGCTCTCATCCTAACATTATGCCCTACACATGTGGGCTGCAAATAATCGCACCTGCAGGCCCATCTAACGAGAACAAGCCAGTTCCGTCAAAAAAAAAAAAAAAATGGGGAAAACAACATCTGGACTGGGCCAAAGAGATCAATATGCACTGAGCAAAGCTGACAGTTCTGAAGCCCCTGGCTTGTTTTACAACTTCCCCTAGGTTCTCTGTGGCCACCTTTTTCCTTTTGCTTCTTGGAGATGAAGGAGGACTGCATGTAAAACAGAGATGCCAAGGAAAGGGCCTGAACACAGCTCTCTTTTTCTTCTCAGGCAAACTAGCTCCTCTGACCTCAACTAATTTCTTCCCATATAACTTTGGTCTTCCTCCGTGCCAGGCTTCTAGGAGTCAGGGGGGCATAATTCCTCTATGCACTCCCCTTGAATGAGGTGGGCAAAGGGAGAAGTCGGGGATGCATATAGTCTGTTGTTTCACTGCAAAACAGTACCTGAAGTTGAATGAGAAGCTAGACCAGGGAGTTATTTAGGACCCAACTGTTACCACTTTGAGAAGACCACCAAGGGTCAGGGTGGGGAAGTAGAGGGCTTTGGTGTTGGGTGGGGGCATGGGGAACTCAGAGAGCATCACGTTTGACAGGTCTCGTGCTATGCTTTCATGTGCCGCTTCAGTGCACAAAGCAACCACCATGTCGGCAACGCAACCTAAAAATCTGGTTAAGAAAGCAAGTGTTTTTAAAAATGTGCTTTGAAGAAGCTTTGTGTGCCTCAGAGCTTGGTGTTTCAATTGCACTGAAGCAGCTAGAGAAAAACATGAGAAACAAGGAATAATCACAAGAAGACTTGGGTTAAAAAACTGGCTGTGTTGATTTTATACACTGATAGGGACAGGCATAGGACAGTAACCTGATTCATCTCAGGCATAAGCAGGGAGAGTGGCTGCCTCCTGAGTTATGAGAAATGAAGGAGACAGCAGACATAATCAGAGAAACTGCCTAGAACAGGGCCTGATAGAAAATAGCCACCCATAAATGTTAAATGTGAATCTCTCAAGTCAGGTGAACTTCAGGGAATATAATGCATTTTAGGAAGGCTGTTAAGAAAGAATGGTTTAATATACTGAAAATCATTGATCTTTGTAATAATTGCTATATTGTTAAAAATCATTAATTGAAATAAGTAAATAAAAGAATACATAGTGGCCTTTAAAAACTGATAGCAGAAACACCATTTCTTCATAAATAGGGTCTAACATTCCAAATAATTAATCATAAGTTAATAAATAACTATTAGAATATAGTTGGCCTAAGGTTATATTTTAACTTTGCTTCCTGTATAATTTCATTTTAAATGTAT